CTGCAGGCTAAGTCTGGCCAGCTGTAGGCCTCTTGGGGGCTAAATCTGGCCAACTGAAGGCCTCCCGGGGGTTGAATCTTGGCAACTGTAGGCCTCCTGCGGCTAAATCTGGCCAGCTGTAGGCCTCCCGGGGGCTGAACCTGGGCAAATGTAGGTGTCCCGAGGGCTGAATCTGGCCAGCTGTAGGCATCCCGGGGGCTAAATCTGGGCAGCTGTAGGCCTCCCGGGGGCTAAATCTGGCCATCTGTAGGCCTCCCGGGGGCTGAATCTGGGCAACTGTAGGCCTCCCGGGGGCTAAATAGGGCCTGCTGTAGGCCTTCCGCAGGCTAAATCTGGCCAGCTGTAGGCCTCCCGTTGGCTGAATCTGGCCAGCTGAAGACCTCCCGTGGGCTGAATCTGGCCAGCTGTAGACCTCCCATGGGCTGAATATGGCCAGCTGTAGGTGAATGACCATGTTCTATATTCACCCTTAAAATGGTTGTTGGCATGTTGTGTTGTGCTTCACAGCCAGGCTGCAACATCTGCACCTTTCAACCCATCACATGTGCTTCTGTGCAAAACCTTAGTAAGTCACTTTCAACAACATGCTCAAGGGGCAATAGGTTAAGAGGCAATAAGTTAAGGGGCAATGGGTAAAAGGGACAATGGGTGATTCTTTGTCACTGGAAAATGAGCCGCTAAACCCACAGGAGGACTGTAGCTAAATAACTCGATGCAAACTGACTGATTAGCACTTAGATGAAAGACCTCTGCATCTGATGTCAATGCCAATTAATCAGCGATCCCCACCCAAAATCCAATACAAGAGCCCCACACATAAAGGAACAGTGCAATGTAATTTGTCTCATGATGATGATGAAGAAACACCATATACCATACATGTTCTAATAGTCTTTACTGTGCTTTGGTAAACTTCCCCCCTCCCTTTTCCCCCACCAGGGAAAAGGGCATATTTGTAGTCATGGATAACTTTCATTGCACTAGGACATCTCCAAAAGTGCTCCAGTTTCCTACAGTGTATCATAGGAGAAATTCAGCACAGCATACCAACTCCACACACCTCTGATGTTGCAAATGGAGGTTTACCAAACTACAGCTAGAAGGGTAGTAGAAAAATAAACCCATAATCCCAGGGTGCTGAGACCCCAGTGGGGGAAGAGGTGCATAGGATACTAGAAATATATTTTCACAGTCACGCGGCCAGTGAAGTGGTCAACACTGAGACGGCTGCCTTTCTTTCCAGGATCTTACCCTGGCACCATTTTAGGCTGAGCCGACCTAACAGCCCAGGTCAATTTTTAAAAGTAAAGAAAGTTCTATGGTGGCTTCAAACCCCTGACCCCGGGACTGGAAAGCAAGTGTCTAGCCACTGTGAGTCATCCAGAAGAAGAAAAAAAAGCACAGGTGATCTGAACAATAATCTGAAAATGAGCCCCACATCGACAGAATGAAGGCAAATAACTTGACCACAGGAATTTCCCCCAGGTTATTCTCTAATGCCTATTATGGGAGACTGATAACTTGAGAAACTGCACCCAGTGCCTCACACATTTGTACAATGTAAACAACAATTCTCTATGCTTGTTTCACAGAATAATGGAAACAAATGTTACTAAGATCAACCAAAAAAAACTCTTAGAAGTACAAAATAATACACAGAACCTCTGATGTGAATCATCTGTGGGAGGGAACCCCTGGGCGGATAGACATAAAAAGTGTACTTGATTTGTAAATGCAGTTGATGGCATGCCGGTAATGACATAAGAATGAGGAAACAATATTTAAGACGTCCACCCTTAACATTCACACTTATTAAGATTTAACCCTTTCATGACCATGGAACTTGTGTCCCTACAGACAATCTTGACTGTGTATGCAAACCACATTATTTAACTATTTGTTTTAGCAAATGCATAATCTGGAACTTATCTGATAATGTGTATGTCTTTAAAACAATTTCCCCCCATTCTGAATTTCAGTGATAAGGAAACAAACACAATACTGCATAGATTACTGCCTGGAGTATTTAAAATACTGTGCACACCAAATTATTTATGAAACATTTGTAGGCAATTATTAAAACTGGCGGAAGCAGTGGCCATTAGAATGAGCAATCTTATGTAATGTAAACAAAAAGACAATGTGCTTGATGCATTTAAGTTGAAAAGATTAGTGTTCTGTGCTTCACTATATGTTGAAGTAAACTCTGTAGTAAAGCACTGGATGAGACACAGCGAAATATGCCAGGCAATAAAGCATACAATATACTGTTTGCGTCCTCACTGTTGAAATTTTACAACCAAGCATAATGTAACACCAATTTCTGTGGCATCTTCTTCTTCATCTTCGCGTCCAAATTCTGGTTGTTCATCCACTTCTGGACTTTGGTCTTGTACCAGAACTTGAGTTTAGGTGCATATCCATTTTACATATCTGGATTATTTGTATGCAGACTGTTGGTTCCACCCCTCTCAGGCAGATGTACTCTTAAAGGAACAATCTCTAAGTAGTCGCCTTTTATAACATGCTTGTTGGAAGCAGTGAGTTTATACACATTCACCTCAACATAACATGCCAGTCACCCTTTTTAGAATGAAGGCAGTAGTAAAGGAAGATGGAGGAGGAGAAGAAGAGGAAGAAAAATCGGAAATCATTTGGTGATGTGATCAATGCCAAACTGGCAATCTTTATTTTCCCTGGTTCTCAAACCTTTTTCGACACGGCATCCTTGTCCAGCAAATTTTTTTTTTTTTTTTGCGGCACACTTACCTTTAAAGGGGTTTGAATACTTAGGAAAAGAAGAAAAGATAGTGCACATTTGATGCTTGGTTGTCTTTAATGCGATGGATGAAACTGTTTGGATGAATTCTTCATTATTTCCTTTATGTATTTGGGAAGATTAGTTATTTTTACCCTCAAATCACTCGACCCAGACAGTTTGCTCCTGTATCTGTTTGTTTTTTTACATAAGCGTACTTTGAGAATGTACTGCAGCCTCACCTATAGCAATGTCATCTGTATACACCTGCATTCAAACCTCTTCTTGGCTTCCCTCACAGTATTTCTGTTTTAAACTGCTGTCCTCATGGATCTCAAGCATATTTGAAAAAATTCTTGATTACCACACTTAGTTTTACAGCTGGACTGTGATATCTGTCCCTTTCAGCCGAACATATTCCATTCCAGCATACCTCTAATTAGGTGCCTTTTTTTAGAGGCTTTTTTTAGTACCCCCTCCCCCCCACCACCATGGCGGTGTGGATCTCACACGGTGATACACTGGAAACGTAGGATGTGCCGAAATAAACCAGTCGGCAAGGCACTTGACAATGCTAATTTAACCTACTTTTGATTTTTTTTGAACAACCAATGAGAGGTTGGCAGATCTGTTTTAGGTAGAGGAAAAAAAAGCAATTTTGTGGACATGTAATAAGATCTACCGCCCTTCCCAAAACCATACGAAAGGGTTCAATACATAGGAAGACGAGACAAGGCAGGCTAGCAAAGACTTGGATTCATGATACGGAAAGGCTTCAAACATGAAAGCATCAAATTTGGTGTGTCTGTTAGACACTAAAAAAATGGATAGAGCTGATCAAACAATCAATAGAAACTTGGTGACCCGCTGACATACACTGTCACTGAACTAAACAAACAGAATGAGAAGTTGAGTTCTAGTGTATTCCTTTTACTTCACTCCCTGTGCTCATCTTTTTTGTGTTCATCCACAGATGTATGTGTACTGTACCTGTTTATAGCAAAGCTGAGATATCCGGGTAGGTTTGGCCAACTTCATCAGGCATTTGTTGCCTGCTAACCTTCCCAGTTGGTTTCAAGGGATATTACATAGTCTCACTGCTGCTTCACCTGTGTTTTCAAGTCAACAGGTGGTTCCCCCCCCACCCCGCACCCCTTTTTCCACCAAATCAGGCAGGCCTAGAGCAGCCATGTAATGCTGGTCAACTCTCAAGGAAAGGCAGGGACAGAACATGAGCATACTCCATCATCCATGACAGAACATGAGCATACTCCATCATCCACGGCGGCTTCTATAAATGCAGAGCTAACACACGGTGTTCTGCTGCTAGACTTGTCCAAGGAATCGACATGTCCTCCTCCTGACTGCCTAATCTCTCCTACATTTACTGGGCCTCAACACTTATCATAGGCTGTTTCTTTAGAATCCAACAGAAGGCTGCCTGCAGACCTGAGATATTAATCATCTAAGACCAGTACTATTCAAATAAGTTCACTCAGGGGCCAGAATTTTGAAAATGGGGATATCTCGGGCCAGAGGCCTAAGCACACGCATAGACAAACCATTAATACAACTGGCAATGATCCGCAGACCACTTGCTAGGCCTCCGCGGGCCATATCTGAGAGATCCGGCCCACAGGCTGAAGGATGAATAGCTCATAATGAGTGCTACTTCTGCTAACGATTGCTCAGTTTCTTTGTTTGTAGTATCCAGAAGCTCATGAGTTCTGATTTGCTCCAATGGAAGACCTTTCGGCCTTGATTCCATTGAATATTTCATGTTCTAAACATATATGAACCCGAACCACAAGAACTTGTATATACCGCACTCTTAGCCAACTACGCTAATACTCAATAAAGACCCAGCCTAACGATTTTTACACACTCTAACCGATTTACTAAACTATTCATGTTTACCAAAAACCTGTAGATGTCGGACTCTGAGGTTACATGCAGTCACTGTCAACTTGAGTTATGTGTATTTCTGTGCGTTTATTTCCCCATCTGTTGAACCCTAAATGTGCTTGTCTAATGAGAACTGGTACACCAACGTTATCAACAGGCTCGTCATCCTGCAAGGACTCAAACCTGGACAATCAGGATGACCACCAACCATCACAGTTTTGTCGAGACTATAGCAGACGATTAAACATGAGAACAATATGGACTACGAAAGCCACCCAATCACAAAGCACATTTCCTCCGGCTGGATATCACAGATGAGATGACGGAGCCAACTGTTTTACTCAGGCTCCGGCTTTGCAGTGGACTTGCTCACAAATTCGGAGAGGGTGTCGCGGAAGCGTGCCCACGACCTTTCTGGAATGGTGATTGCTGTACGGAAGTTGTTTCTCACCTGAAACACACAGATAAAATCGATCTCAGGTATTTAACCCACTTCACTTATTTCTACTTTTCAGCATTTACTTTTTAAGGAAAATTAGCATACTGTGTTGTGATTTACAGCCAGGCTGTGACATACATGCCTTTACAAAACACCTGATTTCAGCTAACACTTACTGTATATTTATGTGCATAAGATGATATATTCTACCTAATTCTATAAGCATAAAATTGGGGGCTTTCTCTCTTTCTTTAATTTTTGAATTGGGGTCGTCTTATACACAGGATGTGTACAAATATTTATTTTCGAATTGGGGTCGTCTTATACACAGAATATGTACAAATGTTTATTTTCGAATTGGGGTCGTCTTATACACAGGATGTGTACAAATATTTATTTTTGAATTTGGGGTCGTCTTATACACAGGATGTGTACAAATATTTATTTTCGAATTGGGGTCGTCTTATACACAGGATGTGTACAAATATTTATTTTCGAATTGGGGTCGTCTTATACACAGGATGTGTACAAATATTTATTTTCGAATCGGGGTCGTCTTATACACAGGATGTGTACAAATATTTATTTTCGAATTGGGGTTCGTCTTATACACATGATGTACATAACAATTTATTTCTGAATAGGCGTCGTCTAAAACATGTCTCATGCATGAAAAAAATATGCTAACTAGTCACCATTGTCGACATGCTTACTAAGGGGCAAAGGGTTTATTCTTTCTCCCCTAAAATGGGGCTCTGGAATGAAGGTCCTGTATGGTGATTCATGCCTGTCAGTCCAGCAAGTGGAGTGGAGTAGAAAGTTTCAAAACGACCTGACTTTTGTGACACACTGTTTATGAGATCGGGTCAGGGACATCAAGTAGTGTCTTATTCGTCGATGGATTTCTGTATGTTTCACCTCTTCACTGATCAAGCACCAGACAAAGAGAACACTGCTCCTCTTCGGTGCATTGTCAAAATGGGTGGTAGTCACCTTTTAAACTGTCATTACGATGTCATGTGCTTAACACTCTTGACATCCTTAACAACAATACTGATGGGTTACAAGACAACGGCAAGGTTATTGTAATTTCTACATGCTGGTGGTGGAGGAGGAGAAAGAAAAACATGAAGAAGAGGAGGAGGAGAAAGAAGAACAATAAATAAAAAGAGGAAAAAGAGTAGAAAAGAAAAATTCATAAGAAGGGGAAAAGCGATGAGAAGAATAACATAAAAATTCACACACTCACCTCCGACACACGAAGATACACCCCTCGTCTGTTGGAGCCAACATCAAAATAGAACATTTTGTTCTCCACCCTCATGAATTTACTTTCTGGCAACTCACTGTGCGGCTCTGTTTTAACAAAAAACATAGAACAGGTCACTTCTATGGGAAGTAGTTATTTTGTCTTGAACTTCTTCTGCATCTGACCTTAAATGGGCGTTTACAGCTGAGCTGCAGTGTCTGCATTTTTAAGCCCAACACGTACAATTACAGCAAAACTCCTAATTAGTTCCATTTTACGACATGCTTGTTTTTTTGTTTTTGTTTTTTTTTAAATATCCATAAACCACGAGTTGTTAACCCTTTGGCTTGGTACTATGGATATCACAAGCCTTCGGCCTTAATTCCATGATAAATACTGTAAATCTGGGAGAAATTTGGCTTTTCTGCCTACCAACGGGCGTGAACCCGGACAACAAGGAGTTGGTCACCCAGTCCCCGCGAAGACAAGTTTAACCAACTACGCTAGCAAGCTGGGCCCGACACGCTTGTGAGGAGTCATCATCTCTGGCCTGGGCACTGCAAACACACTTTGTAATTCTGAGGTACACGGGTAAATTCCAGCTGCAGGCGATTTGGCAGCAGACTGCCTTGTGCTGATTTTGATAGTGGTATCGGAAGTCGATTGTTCGGAAGCAAAGGAAAACCAGTGAACATAAAATTGCCTGGTGACATCAAAAAGGCCAACAAATGCAAGCTGGTCCTGCAACTTCTTGTAAAGGATAACGAACTAATTTGTGCGTATGTATGTATGTATGTATGTATGTATGTATGTGTTCGTGCGGGTGTGTGTGCATGTGTGGTCAAGGCACTAGATCTATTCATTCCCTTTCTACCCCCCCCACCCCCCTCACAAATAAGGTCCCAATACCCATTTGAGGATTGTCTGTAACAAAAACCTTCCTCGTGGGTATCAGATTAGAGTCCGTGAGCATGAAATCCCTAACACACGTGCAAGCCCTACACAGGTCCAATCCTAGCAAATCCACATGCAGTCTTGAATCTTAATTCAACTGGTCACATCCTAATATGCATCTCCTGAGACGTTAAGTTTCAGTACCAACCTTGCACGCTCCATGGGGTTTTGTTTCCTTCTTCTCCAGCGACCTCTGGTCATGTGCTTACATCCAGTGTGGGCCATAAACTGGGATTTCATCTCAAGGTCTCCTCGGTTTCCCCAAAGCCCAGCTTTCAGGTCTACTGAGTTTGGCAACATGTTGCTTCACAGCTCCTCCATGACAGGATAGTCTTGCAAGACATGTTTTGTCAGCAAGAACAAATTGGCAGAAAGCTGTTGAGCTCATACCTAAGTGTTTGCTGGGTCTGCAGTGTCCAGTGCAGAAGCAAAAAACTGGGACTTTCTCATTTCTGTTCAGAAGACTTACGAAATCTTTTTCATGGTTATAATCTGTGTTGGCTTTTTAATCTGTTTCTGATTTTCTCTTGATGAGGGTTATACTTTGGATCGTTTCTCCAGGCTATGCCGGCATGGTGGGTAATGAACAGGCAGACAGGATACATGACAAGGCAGATGTGATCAAGGCCCTTTAGGAACAAGCAATGGAATCAGTAGAGATAGAAAATTATTATGGCCTGGAGAGAATGAGGCATCTAGGTGTAACCAGAGGGTCTGGCCGGCTCACTGCACTCAGAGGAAAGGCAAGACGGATATATATAACCAGATAGTGACTGTACCATCAGTTTTGGAACTCTGCACAGGCTGCTGAAGATGAGGATGACAGAGCATGCATTGGAATGCAACCAGTGCTGTGATGTCAATTCTGAACTCAACTAAACTCTTGATGAGGGTTTTAAGCTTTAGAAAAAAGATAGTGGCTGGCAGATTTGTGGTGGTGCTGCTACCTTCCTTGGCAAAAGCATAGGGCTTGCAATGCCTTTGATGCCACCATGGGATGGAATCCAAGGGTTTAGGAGTTTTGAGAATCTTCTGGACATATGTATGATCTTAGTCTCGCTGATTACCATGATAAATATATCCACGGCAGCTCAGCCAACTTTCATTGTTGAGAAGTAACACATTTATTAAGCTTAACTCTTTTGTCCTGAGGACTCACAAAACTAAAGTTTTCAGGCGAGTCGAATTCCCTGTAAATGACTCTTTTCTGACTTGTCTGTGGTGGCCTGTAATGAGTGGCATAATTAATACTATTGGCTGTTTTTGCAGACTCAAACACAGCATTTATTTTTTTTGGTGGCTGTTTGTGATTTCTCGACATCACTGTTTAAACTAACGCAGTCTGCTGCCAAATTGCACAAAAACGCCTGAATAATGAAGCATTTTAAGACCAGCTAAGCCAGAGAGGCCAACTTATTTGCTTGTAGCAATGTGGCTCTGGGGTAGAACGAACCTTACAAATGTATATAATATGGATGTTTAGAGTAATGCGGATTTGCAGTCTAGACAAACCCTGAAAATTGTTTTAACTGTAAAAATATAAATAAATTTTTTTTTTTAACATTAAAAAAAGCTTTATTTTTTTTTTAAACCATTATATAATGATTGCATTTAAAAGATTAAATAATTTCTCATGTAGTTTATTAGATACTATAGATTAAATCACCTATACAAAATACATCAACACAAATGAAAAATCAATAACAAAACATTTTAAATGGAATAGTAGTGCACCATATTGCACTGTCACCCACAAAGAGTGCAAGTGCCCGATTATCAGGAAAAAGTTTAACAAGTAAAGGCAAAGTTACGCCCAGACAAACAGCACAAGCGACTTTAATAAAAAAAAGGTAAATTGTTAAAGTAGGTGCACATTTTCTGGCTGACTGTATACATACCTTGGTCATCAGTGCCAAACTCCTCAAGCAGTTCGGTGAGAGCATCTCGGAACTCAATCATGCCCTGGGCTGGGATAGCTATCTGTGAGCGAGGTCCCCCACGAGGGATGGTTTGAGAGACCTGTAAGATAAGACATGACAGGATGTCAGGGTTGGTCACTGTACAGGAAGAGATGAACACAATGTTAAGACAACAGGCACGGCTCTGCGACCTAGAGGTTAGTAAAATGGTTTCACAATGCTATCCTCAGCATTTATTTTTCTCTAAGCTGTGTGGCATCAGCAGTCATGTCTATCCACACCCTTCTGCCTCGTGTACTTTCAATCAACTGACACAAATGAGGGGATGCGTGGTTTCGAGGTATGGTGTCCGCCTTGAGTGCTAGAGGTTCAATCCCCGCTAAGGGCTGGGGTTTTTTTTTCACGTGGACTTGGACTTCTAGTAATTCCCTCTGGTCTCTGGGTAGTGAGATCGGGCACCAGTGTGAACTGTTGCGCATGTAATAAATCTCTTGGCAGTTGGAAATCAAAAAGAGTAGAGAAATCAAAAAGAGTAGCCCAACGGCACTACAAGGGAAAAAATATTGAGTTAAAAATCTACCTAAAGTATTTCAGGATCCTGGCCGGTGCTACAGAGTTTGTGCACTGTGGTGAGCTTCTTCATACTCAGACGAGTTAGACGAAGAACGGAGCACATATGGGTTACTACCGTGTGCCATGATGTTGATCCGTTATTCAAACTTCAAACCTCAGGCACAGATGATCCTCTATGCCATGACGTCAAACTGTCAAGCATCTTTGCTCTCGGTCTTCCTCTGCCTCTCCTCCCCTCCAACTTTTCAACTGTCACGATGTACTCCAGTTTTCTCCTTATCATCACATGACCTCAGCATCTACCAAGGCTCAATTTCCACGGGGGCTGATAAGAGACAGACCGTCCTTGTGGCGAGGAGAGGTGGTACCAGAGTCACAGATTGGGGCCTCATCACGTAATATTCTCATAGCTGACAGTGATACACTGTAGCTAAACTTTTTTTTTCTTTTTGATAAAAGACACAAAAGGAATAATGCTGTTTATTGATCTGACAAGTATTTTTACCAATGCTTTGCTATCAATGTGAAATCAAACACGGACACTGTCTTTAGAAGACAAGGAAAAAATATTGACAAATGAAATTACGTTCTATGTTAGGTCTAACGAGTAAAGATCGACTTAGGAACGATGATATCAGGAGGAGAGTTGGCACAGAACCAATACTGAATTTTATAGGTAGACAACAAATTAAATGGTTTGGCCATGTAACAAGATTGGCATCAGACAGGGCCCCACAGAGAGCAATGTTATATAGATAAAGCGGTAACAGAGCCAGAGGCTGACCACCCATTATGGACTACAGAAATATCAGTGGCACTGAAAAGTACTTTATACGAACGGCGTGTTCCAGAGATCTCTTCCTGCCCTTACGTTGTGAGTCCTTCCAGGAGAAGAGAAAAGAAAAAGAAAGAACATCTGAAAGTCACTCTTTCTTTGTTTTGTTTTTTCTACACCAGTCCCTGAACCCATTTTCAACACTTCACTCAGGTAATGATTTTTTTTTTAAATTGAACCATGACCCTGCGTGATTCTCAAAAGTAACTTTAAAAAAAAAAAGTTACACAGGTCACAAATATTCTTGTAAAAATTTTTCTCTTTCTAGTTGGTAACTCCAAGTTGTATAGGTAGGTCTGCTTGTATATTACCTCTCCACTATCTTTGTGGTGTCTGCCTTGTGATTCATTTCCATTCAACTTCCTTGTGTACACACTTTTACCTTTCTGTCATCTACCATTCTCTCAATATTTCAGTCTGTTAGCCCCATGATGCCAGTGGTCAATGTTGATATAAACACAAAAAGAAGACTGGTACACACATTTATTTTATCCATACAGCCTCGGAGGTGCAGTGGTTAAACACATGGGTTCGAATTCGCAATGAGATGCATTTGAAAAAAACTGACTTTGGTTAAACCACTCTAAAATTCATTAATTCATTAATCCTGTTGTGCCATTTTATGTCATTTAGGGTTCGCAGTCTATCTGTCCATTCCGTTCTATCCTGTGCAATCAGTTTGATATCATGGATGGAATCCAGCACAGCAGCTTTGGCCTCTCTCATCAACGTTCTTTTTTAGGGTTTCTTTTAGGCAGTCAAAAATTGGTACCATAACATATCCTGGGAAGTAAAGGCAGCAAAAAGTTAACATCATGGTCAATCTAGCAACATATGCACAATGTACCACAATGTACCACTGATGTGGAAAGGGTCTTTTACTTATGTCATTTAATTAGAAAAACCCTAACTGCATCTGCCATAAACCGTTTCCTCCGGGGGGAAAAAAAAGAATCGACCTGGAATAAATAAATTACGACAATCAACAATTCTGACGATCAAAAATTCTCTGGATATGTCAAAATTCAATTACCCGAAGAAATCTGCCGCGCTGGTTCTCCTTCAAGTCCAAGTAATAACGTCTGTTGTCTTTCACAATCATCTCACTTTTTAACTTCCCATCATCTGGCGGTGTTTCTGTATTGGTAGGACCTGTCATTTAAAAATAAAAAAATGAATAATACACAGAAGTCATAGCAAAGGTACTGGGTTCAAATCTGCAAAGTGGGCAACCCCCCCCCCCCCCCCCCCCCCACACACACACACACACACAAAACTGACCCTGACTCCCAACTTAAAATAGGAACCAGGTAATGTTCTGGAAAATAAAGGCCTTGTAAACCACTGGCTAAAACGAGTTCTTTACTTACTTTTTCTTTTTAATACCCAAAGTTGCCCAACTGGGTATCATGATATGTGAGCAGTAACCTCTACCTTGAAAACACACTGTAAGAGACGAATATGCAGTACTGATGCTAGACTGGCTAATCCATCCCATAGAAACAATGGCAAAAAATCTAATTGTGTTTTAATAACATCCTTTCCCCCAGATGACGTCACAGGACAGTCCAATATTTTAGAGGGTGGTAAGACTGGGTTTCCCAGCTTTCTGATGATTTTAATTATCCCAAAACATATAGAACTGGCCCTAACCCCAACCAATCTCCACCCCACCAGAGAATGCAGCCTAGGTCCAACAACTGCATGCAGCCTTTTTACCACCCCCTGAAATATTAGACTGTCCTGTGACCTGTGGATTTCCCCTGTTTGGGGTGGGATATTAATAAAGTACCAATCTATTTAATCTGAATGAGAAGTGCTCAGTCTGCCTATCTATCAGTGCTTCCCTCTTGACCAGCTGCCAACCAAGGCTTAGGTCCTGGTCTGCGCTGCGAGAACAGTGAAGTTTTTAGGACGCATGTCCACTTCCTAGGATAAGGCTATTATTCTAATATCTTCAAAGCAAAAAGCCAGTGGCCCAAGTGCAATGTCACATTTGTTATATTCTGCCCAACGGTCAGTATTAACAGAGAACAGATAATACCTTCTACTGCTGCTATATGATAGCTCTGTCATATCTGAACAAGTTAACACGTTTGAGGTTTGAACAATGGATCCACATCATAGCACACGGGTAATAAGCCATAAGTGCTCCGTTCTTCTTCTAACTCAAGTCCAAGTCCGAAGAAGCCTAGCACAGTGCACAAGCTCTGCAGCCCCAACGAGAATCCCGAAATACTTTGGGAGATTTTTAACTCCAAATTTTGCCAAGGCAGCGACGTTAGGTTACTCTTTTCAATTTCCAATTGCCAAGGAATTTTTTACATGCGTACACACGGGCATCCAATTTCACTACCCAGAGATCAGAGGGAACTACTACAAGTCCAAGTCAACGTGAAAAAATCCCAGCCCATACCGGGTATTGAACCCGGCACCTCTAGCACTCAAGGCGGACACCATGCCTTGAGATCACGTAGAACAAGTTAACAGAAAACAGACAGCACCGAATACTACTATAAGGTAGAATTGTGGTATTCGATCAAGACCTGACTGTAAACATGCTTTACAGGTTTATTTAGATGCAAGAACAAATAAACAAAAACAAAAATAAGTGGGGGGGGGGGGGGGGGGGGGGGATAAATAAATGAGTCCTTTTTCTGATCATGATTCGAGCATCATCATGATCAACAACCTCTGAGCATTAAGCGTCCAAGGGAGAAACAATCTGTGATCCAGTGCATGCTGACTGGCACTGGCTATTACCATGATGTGAAGGCGAAGTGTCTTTAATGTTGTCAATCCATTCTTTTTGTGGCTATCCTCTTGCTCTTTTAGCTGATCTTCTTAAATTTAGTGCATCTGATGGTATTTGATCTTACTGCATTCTAATGAGATGGCCAAACCACTGCTGTTTCTAATTTCTTCTTCTTCTTTTCTTTTTCTTTCGTTCGCTTGAAATAGATTATCTTTATCTGCAATGCTATCTCTAGTATGAACTTCACTGTCTTTTGTAATTCACTCAGCGACCCATAAAGTTTGACTTGCGCCGATGTTTCTCTTGCCCAAAAGTCTAGCCCTGATATGTTGTATTTGGGACAGTCTTGGGGGACATGATCTACTGTTTCCTCAATGAACCTAGAACAGGGAGGTGTTCTTACAATCTGTCTGACAGTTTTATTATTAAATCTTCTTAAACTGTCAAGGGCTTTGTTTTGGGGCATCACAAGTGGCAATTCTGCGTATATGGGCCCATGAATGATACTAGTAGCTCGATGTTGGTTTGAATATACCATGCTGTTCATAATCAGTCCACCCTCCCCCCACCTGACATAATTATGTTTGGATGTCTCAATTATGGTGACATTTGGTGCATATGTGAACTCACTTTCTGACATTTGGTTTCTTTTTCTCTGTATGAGTCTAACATTACATGAAACATCTAATAGTTCTCACCAAATGATGCTTACTTACTTGAGAATTCTGAACATGATTCAAAAATAACATTATACCTGTATTTGACTATTTTCGCATAATGATTAAAAAAAAATGATCTGAGAACTTCGAACATGATACATTTAAAACATTATACCTACATTTGACTGTTCTCGCATAATGATAAAAAATGATCTGAGAACTTCAAAAATGATCCATTTAAAACATTATATCTATATTTGAATGTTCTCCCATAATGATTCAAAATGATCTGAGAACTATGAACATAATCCATATAAAACATTACACTTAAATTTAACTGTTCTCGCATAATGATACAAAATGATCTCAGAACTACAAACATGATCCATTTAAAACATTATACCTAAATTTAACTGTTCTGACATCTTCATACAAAATGATCTGAGAAAAACGAACATAATCCATATAAAACATTATACCTACATTTAACTGACTGTTCTGATATCTTGACACAAATTTACCTGAGAACTTTGAACACGACTCTAATCTAAAATAATGCACATATCTAGCTGTTCTTAACTTAATTCACATGATCCACATAAAACATTATACCTATACTTGACTTCTTCTTCTTCTTCACTTCCTCTTTTACCGCTGTGAGTGTCGAGGGAGATATAAGGTTCTGTTTCTAGCTCTTCTGGCTGCCTCGACCATGGGCACATCGTGCTGTTGTAGAATTTCTCTGATGTTATCCTTCCATCTTGTTCTTGGTCTACCCCGTGCTCTACGTCCTTTTTCTCTTTCCATGTATGCTTTGTATGGTATGGTGTCACAAGGCATTCTCTCTAAGTGGGCAAACCATTTCACTTGCTGTCATGTATACTTGACTGTTTTCGCATAATGATACAAAATGATCTGAGAACTTTGAACATAATCCATTTAAAACACGTTTAACTGACTGTTCTGATATCTTGACACAAATTTATCTGATAACTCTGAACACGAATCCAATCTAAAATAATGCACACATCTATCTGATCTTACCTAATGACGCATAGTGATCGGCAAATTCTGACAGAAAATCCCTAAACTCTGCTGCAGATGACATAGCAAGGAGGAGACGACTCTTCTTTCCGCCGGCACCAACCTGGATCCAAATACACAACAATTTCAGCAAAAGTGAACATCTAGACTCTTCAAGAGAACGTCATTTGCTTGACTCTAGGAAAGTAATTCATAGAGTCTGTGTCTCCCTTCTTATTTACCACCCATTCCAAGCAAGATATATGAAATTGGCAGAAGCTGTGATAATAAACATGAACAACCCCGTGCAGTGCAAACAAAACGGAAACAAAACACAACCTGTGGTAAATGTCAGTCTTTATGGTAACCATGTGACTATTCTGAACTACTAGTCATGAGATGTCCTAGTGTGGCTAGAAAAGACAGTGTAATGTGTGTATTTCAGCAGAAAGGATTTTTTTTGTGTATTTCATTATCTGCTTATATAAACTTGGCAGTTACCCAACCGATGAGATACAGAACAATATGTCTGGCAATAAACGGTGCTATCTACTGTTTGTTTCTGATTTATTTACAATCATTTTCAGTCAGTCAATCAGTAGCCTGTCCTTTGCAGAACCTTGTTCCCATAACAAACCTCCGGAAAACAAGCGAAATGTCCCGCCTCTGGTACACCAAGTTGGAGATGATCCGCCACATTATGCACCCATGTTTTCTTTGGCCTTCCTCTTCCTCTCTTCCCAGGCATATACCCCTCCATTACTATTTTCTCAAAACTTTAGTGACATTTAAATTGACCAATATATTTCAATTTTCTGTGTTTTATCGTCTTTAATTATTTTACTTTCATTCAAATACATTTTAAAAACAATCTCTCTACACTAAAACCTATATTTAAAAATGACTGCCATCTGAATGCAGATTCCTGTCTGCTAGAACAAAGACCATCATCAATCAGCAAGTCTTTTACAGAAAGTCGCTCTCTTCACAGCTCGCCTGAAAGTATCCTCTTCCCTAGCCAGCTCTCCAGCCCAAAGTGCTTTTCATGTCAATGCTTCTTCGACGTCATGTATCCATCTTCGCGGTGGTTGACCCCTGCCTCGCCTTCCACAAACTGCACCCTCTATCACCGTCTTTTCCAAGCCACCGTGACGCTCGATGTGGCCAAACTGCAACTTTCTGTAGAGCATTCTTTTGATGAGCAATTTCTCCCTGATGTTCAACTCGTTCATAATGTCTATGTTTTTTCCTCTTCTCGATCCATGGTATTCTAAGAATTTTTCTATAACATTTCAAGTCTAAAGCTCCAATCTTTTTCCTCAGTGACTGAGTGAGAGTCAACTGTAAGTTGTCACAGGCAAAATGCACAATCTCAAGATTTTTACTTTAACCAATTTACTAGCGCTTTGCCATAGGTTCTTTATGCTGTTTAATCTCTGCAATGCTAATGGAAGTCAAAGGCCGTGAGTTTAAAAAAAAAAAAAACTCACAGCAAAAAACAAAGAAAGAAAGATTTAACGAAGTGAATGGCAGCAATTGTAGCAAAGCAATCAGGAGTGCTGCCTGATGAGATAGTGATCCGAGTTTCAGAAAATCTCAGCTGCACATGTTGTCATAGTTTAGGATTAGCTAAAAAGCTATTCTCAGCAAGGATAAAGAAAGGAAACAACTTTGCCTTGAATATTTGATTGTCACTCCTCTTTTCACTTAAACAAGGAATGCAATATTCCAGTGGTCCATGTTGTCATAGTTTAGGATTAGCAAAGCATTCTCAGGAAAGAGGAATCGGGTTTTATTCATTTGGAACGGGTCCCAGGTGCTAGAATTGCATGGATATTTTGCCAGGGCTATGCAGGCGTGTTTGAGAATGAAAAGGCAGACAGGTTGGCAGGACTGGTCCCACTGGGAAAGGGGAGAAAGGGGTATGCCACAACTGCACAAGGCAGAGGTGATCTCTCACCTGTGGGGCAAGGTAACAAGTCAAATATGCTAAAAACCTGCACCTGGACAGAATAATGCAGTGGGGAGTGTCTGTGGGCTCTTGGCGCTACTCGAGACCCAGGTGGAAAGGCAAGATGAGTAGTTAATCCAATGGCAAGGGGTCCCATCAATACGGTACCTATTTGCTAGCTGCTGAGAAGGAAGACGGAGCTAATATGGGCTCATCCTAAATGCTGTTATGTCAAGTGTCTATCCAGATGACTAAGTATACAATATATTCACCACTGTTGCATATCCATCTATAGCAGTGGAAGACCATGAGGTACACCAAAAGAAAGAATCCAGTTTTTACCTGAGGAGTCAATGGATAGTCCCAATACTTCAGCCTGATTAAATCTATCTTAGGATAGTCCCAATACTTCAGCCTGATTAAATCTATCTTAGGATAGTCCCAATACTTCAGCCTGATTAAATCTATCTTGTCCCGTGCACATTCAGTGTTGTCTGGCATGTAGAGGTACTAAACTTACACTAAGTAAATAATAAGTTCACAACTGTTTTATACCCATTTATACCAGTTAGAAGACTATGAGGTACACAAGGAGAAAGAATCCAGATCTGACCTTAGTACCCAAAGAAGAGTCCTAGTACTGCAGTCTGATCAAATCTATCTTGTCCCTTACATATTGAGCTTTGTCCGGTATGCAGAGGTGCTTCTTCATCTTTTTTTTCTTTCTTTCTTTCGCTTTGAAAAAAAAATTTTTCTATATCTGCAATGCTGTCTCTTCACTGCCTTTTGTAATTCACATAGAGGTTTACAGATGCTAAAACACATGCAGTGGCGCACTACGACCAGTTGTCAAGAAATATCTACACCTCTCTGCAGTCAGCCTGGAAACAGGTCCTCAACTGCGAGCTCTGCTTACATAAAATTACCATGCCACAGTGCATCTCTCTGAGAGGCAAGCAACAACAGTAATCATATATAAGCTAGATCTGTAAAATGAATGTGCTCACAAAACTCAATTCCAAAGAAGACCTGAAGCAGACAAACAACCAGGACATTCTGTTGGAGTTCACAGCCGGTGAACGTGAAGAAAAAGAAGAAGAAGAGTGTTGTCCAAATTGACCATGACAGTAAGATAGTGAGAAAGTCTGGAATGTGCTTACCTCTGCAACTTTGATGAAACGTCCGCGTTTATTTTGCTTGACATCCAGGTAGAACCTCTTCGACTGGATGTGAAGGGTGCGTGTTGCCAACTCCTGCTCACCTGACCCACCTGCAGATTTCAGAGATCTCAAATATATACAGCCCTGACAGGAAGCAAATAATAGTAACACTGCAACCTACCAGGCATATCCTAAGAGGCAACTAAGGACTTGCAGTTGACTACCTCATCCTGTAAAAATAATGGCCACAAAAACAAACAAATGACCATGGAAAAGTCCAACTTAATTATCAATAAAATATAAACTTTCATTAACAGGTTCCTGTGCAGAATAGAGGGAATTAAATAGTATGATATAGTCATAAATATGAGGCTTTGGAGAGAACTAAAAAAAAAAATTCCAGTGGATAAAGAGGTGAAGACAAGATGCTGGAGTTGGAAAAGACATACTGACTAGTATGTCTTTACTTTGGAACTCACAAGGGCATAGAAATAAAGGCAGGCAGAAAATTACATGAAGGGAACTAGAGAATGAAGTTTTAAAAAAATGTGGTGTAAGCTGTATGTGATAGCAAAGGATAAGGTGTTCTGGCATGAGCTGGTTGAGGGCTTATGCTCCAATGGGGGATTAGGGGCCCAAAAAAAAAGAAGAAAAAAATGAATCAGTCACTGCACTCTAGATATTCCTACTCTGCCATCTCCGTCCTCCATAGCCAACAAAAAGTTCCCATGCTAACAATGCCAGCTGCAACCTGATTAAACATCCATTTTCCTCTCAACACTGAATACCATCCAGAATCCCTGTCCAGAGGAGAAGCAGCAGCCAATCTATCAGGCTGCTCTTTAACCCGTACATCCCAATGTCCTGGACTGAAAGTCCATGATCTGCTCCTGATCTGATCTTATCAAGTGAAGCTATTAGCGCTTCTGCACTTCTCACTCCAAGTGTTGTTCACTTGGTCTGAAAGGGCTTGTACCACATTTAGTTTGTCAAGTATCAACTGCCCAACAAGTGGTTCACAACCAGCCAAAGAAAGAAGGAAAAAGAAGGGGAAAGAAAGAAAGAAAGAAAGAAAGAAAGAAAGAAAGAAAGAAAGAAAGAAAGAAAGAAAGAAAGAAAGAAAGAAAGAAAGAAAGAAAGAAGAAAGAAAGAAAGAAAGAAAGAAAGAAAGAAAAAGAAAGAAAGAAAGAAAGAAAGAAAGAAAGAAGAAAGAAAGAAAGAAAAGAAAGAAAGAAAGAAAGAAAGAAAGAAAGAAAGAAAGAAAGAAAGAAAGAAAGAAAGAAAGAAAGAAAGAAAGAAAGAAAGAAGAAAGAAAGAAAGAAAGAAAAAGAAAGAAAGAAAGAAAGAAAGAAAGAAAGAAAGAAAGACAGAAAGAAAGAAAGAAGCAAGCAAACAAAAACACAAACTTACCAGGATCTGAAGCTTCTGGATGGACAAACAGACAAAGCACCAGAAAGAAAAAAATTAATTTATAATACACTCAATGAATGCATGACAATATTCACATATCAAACATTACAAATCATGAAGTGACGTTAGTTCTTAAACTGACGGAAACCAATGAGCAACTACATGGCCAGTGCCGGAACTAGCTGTTGCCACCAACAATAAAAACAATGTCCTAATTTTGTACCTGTTAAATGAGTAGCTGCAGTAGCAGAATGAAAGACGTCTTATTGCAGGCCCAAAGAACCTGCATTAAAATTCCCCCTCAAAACTGACGCTGGCTCTATGTTCGACCCAGCCTAAGACATTTACCAGGTAAAGTCCTGGGAAGTAGAGGTGGTCGATACCCAGATATTTTTCTGAAGGATTCATATAGTCTGGCAGCATTCTTACTATATGGCAAATGATTTCATTCTGTGAAACTCGAGGTAATTCATGCAGTCTTCTTCTTCTTCTTCTTCGATCCTTCTGTCAGAAAACTTATATCAGGAGGCCGGTAGCCTTTATGAAAGCTATCGTGCAATCCATATCCTCTTGTGTGCCATACAGTTTTGTCTTTATTGTGGTTGGAACAGGCCAGATTGCGTCTCTGTTGTCAGCATACAGTTGACAGTGTTGGAGCACATGCTCAGCATTTTCGGGTGCCACGCTGCAGGGACACGTCTCCGTATTTCCTACACCGAAAAATTTGAACATATGTTGACGAAATCTGTTGTGCCCTGTCCTTAGTCTGAATATAATAGACTGTCCCTCTCTAGAGAGGCGATGAAGTGAGTCTTGGGGAGAAAATCTGGTGTGGGTATCCAGCCACCTTTCTTGGATACTAGATTGTATTAGTGTTTTCATCTCTTGGTGGGTTAAGTCGCTATTTGGTTGTACCATGTCACTGCCGCTTCTGGCTAATCTGTCCGCTATTTCATTGCCTTCCAAGCCACAGTGACCTGGAATCCACTGCAGTACAGATTGTTCTACTGAAGAGCCTAAGTAAATCAGCTGTTGCGTCAAGTCTACAAACTGAGTGTCTTTTGGGTTAACAATTGCTTGTAGAACTGACATAGCATCAGTCAGAAAGACCACTCTGCTATATTTGCTGTGCTGTTGTCCATTCAGGAAAGAACATGCCGCTAGAAGTGCTTCTGCCTCTGCTCTGTAATTGGAGGAATATGAACCTGTTGGTACAGCCTGGTTGATTTTTAAACCATTTGGGCATTCTATGTATATTCCTCCTCCTCCGTCTCTTACTGCTCTCTTGGCTGAACCATCTGTATACACTCGAATCCAACTCTGGTGTGGGTAAAGTCTATTGATCTCTCCTTCTGTAGTTGATTTCATATCAGTGCTGCTCATTGATGATTTGGAGGAGACCCCTGTTACAGTGGTTCTGACTGTTGGTAGGCTATCCCTAAGCCAAGCGGGGCAGTCGTTGTAAGGTTTAAGTGGAACATTTGGTATTATGGGAGGGAGTTTAAGGACAGCGAGCTTGGCATTTGCGTTCTTAATAAAGCAAGTTCTCTTTAGTCTAGCCTTCTGGGGTTTCTGCAGTCGGCTGTACATGGGTTGTTCTTGAAAGTGGTGGTATTTGGAGAGCTGGGTGAGGATCTTTGTGTCTCTCCTATCTTCCAGATTATGGAGACCAGTAATTGTTTCCATATCTGATATGGGCATGGAGCGCATTGCCCCTGTCATAATACGGAGAGCATGGTTTTGGATCTTTGAGACTTTTTGAAAATTTGATTTAGCTGCTGTGCCCCAAGCAGCTATTCCATATTCTAGTGTTGGCCTCACATAGCCTGTATAGGTCCTCTTAAGGACATTGAGGTTTGCCCCCCATGTCTGTTCCAGCTAACTTCCTCATCAGTTGTGTTCTCTTGAGTCCCTTGCTCTGTGTCTTTTCTATCTGTTTTCTCCATGTGAGTCTTGAGTCAAAGGTTACTCCTAAATATGACGGTGAGTCATCATGTATCAGTGCCTGGCTGCCATATCTAAGTGAAACTTTCTGGGGTTTGGTAGAGAGACTGAAAATGGTGTGTGTGGTTTTGGCCCCATTTACAGGCATGTACCAGCTATTGGACCACCTCTCTAGAGTTCCGAGGGATTCTTGAAGCCTTGTCTGTGCTTTTTCAGTGACCTCCTCTGAACTCAGTAGCGCCAGATCATCGGCATACATAACGGCTTGAACTCCATTACAGAGGGTTGATTTTATGTCGTTAATGTAAACTAGGAAAAGAATTTGGGACAGAACTCCGCCTTGTGGAACTCCATGTGTCATTGAGACTGATCTGCTCCTTGAACCCTGTATCTTGACTCTTGCAGATCAATTTTCAAGATATTTTACGATCCACCCAAGCATTAGTTTGAAGTTTTTCTCTAGGAAACAGGTCAGTCGGTTGTTCAATAATCTTTCAAATAGTTTGCACAGACAGCTAGTGAGGCTGATGGGTCTGTAGCTGTCTGCGTTGTTCTTCGGCTTTCCTTGTTTCAGGATTACGAAGATTTCAGACTTCCTCCAGGCTGGAGGAACTATACTAAAAATCCAGCTGGCATTAAAGATGTTTAATAATTTCTTTTTGGCACTTAGACCCATGTGTAGTAACATATCATTCGTGATTTTATCGGGGCCAGGGGCGTGGTTGGATTTCAGCTGGTTGAGTCCTGTGTTAAGTTCACTCATTGAGAATTTATCTGTCATGATGCTCTCTGCTGGTTTACTCTTGCTGGCCTCCTCGAGTTCTTTTATTCTTTGTACTACCTTATCTTCTCTGGACTTTTCTATATTAATATCACTAACAGATTTAAACTGATTTAAAAGGATATTTGCAGCATCGTTTCCAGATCTGATTTCATTGCGCTCATTTATTACTATTGGATTGGCTTGTTGGGCTTCTCCATTTAGACACTTGACTAGTTTCCAGAGTTTGGACCCATCTTTTTCAAAACTTAGGCTCTTGGTTTTGTCTTGCCAGCTCTTCCTAGTTGCTTGAAGTGTTTCTTTTTTTAGCTTAGCTTCTGCTGCTTTGTACGCAATGTTGTTTTCTACCGTTGGGTTGCTTTCTACTCTATCTCTTGCTTCTGAGAGAGTTTGGTGGAGGTCTTGAATTTGTTGGGACCAAAATGGGATGTAATCTTTCCTTGAACCCCGAGGTATGGTTTCTTTGGCTGCTTTTAATATAGCTTCTGTAAACTCTTTCTGGTTTGTTGATTAGCTGGAGTCTGGCATATGTCTGCCAGTCCTCCACTTCTTCTCCTCTCTCATTGAGCTGTGAATATCCCCAGCTTGGAGAGCAGCTGTTAAAATCTCCTAGAACGATACAGTTGTCATCTGGGATTCTCATGTTGTATAATGAGAGTTCTTTGCTTGGCAAGCAGTAACAATTGTATAATACAATTTCCTTGCCTGCAATGTTAAGCCTGACACCCATGATCTCAGACTCCTGTTTTGTGTCCACTGTAAGACTAGCTGCTGGGATGCTGTTTTTTACTAGGATGAGGACTCCTCCCTTGGGACCATTTTCTCTGTCCTGTCTGAAGCACTGGAAGCTTCTAATACAGAATCTGTGCTTTTCTGACAGGTGTGTCTCCTGTATACAGGCAATATCAATATTTCCTTCCGTAAGTTGTTTTGTGAGTGCAGCTTTTTTGTTGCGGACTCCCTCTGCATTCCATTGTAGAATCCTCGGAGCGCACACGTCTTCTTCGTCCATCTTGTCCCTCTGATGGATATATTATCTAGGCTGTTTTTCTAGCTTTGCGAGTGGTGACGATGTACAGTTGCCACTTTTAAGGTAGGGCTCACCGTGATATGGTTTCACTGAAGTGTTAAAGATTAAACACCACAGTCTTCATTCCTGCTAGGGTTTTCTGACATTCAAGAAGGTATGCGTGACGTCATGTTTGTGGGAAAATATTCTCCCACACTATCTGTGCCTTTCGACCTGGCGTCTCCGTCTTCAACGTGCTTTTCTTTAAGGATGTGCTTCCTTAGCCCGTAACCAACCAAGGCCTGACCACCGGGCAGTGGTAGTTTAGTTTCAGAGTATCCTTCTCATAGGTGGGCCGCTGTCCCCAGCTATCGAGTCCCACCTACCCGGGGAAAATACCTAATTAAATTTTTAACGGCATCCTGTGTTGGCGTGGCAGCGCTTCACCAGTCCGGTTGTATGCCACCATGTGTACGCCCACAGGACAATTACTGTCTAAAATGCCATAAATCCATGGGGCCAAGTGAAACACAATTGGGCCTGTTTGTGCCCCGTTGGCAACAGAGGCTTCCGTTGCAGAAAACCTATTATAATGCACTATATTCCATTTTTAACGAATATTGATCTACAAAGTCACACAAAAACTATTTCACAGTAAGGCCGACGGAACAACGGTCACAGTGATATAAAAATTATCCTCAGATATCCAATGCAACAGGGCTTAAAAAATCTAAAATGATGAGAGCGAGAAAAACACGTCCTGTCCCTTGATCCATTCATGCAGTCATGTTGCAACCTTCTCTCTAATGCCCTAACTTCCGGTCAAAATGGACGTTAGGCGGCGGCACTGTTCAAAACATAGGCAAATTTTTGGCTTCTGCCGGACGGTGGCTGATGCATTTTTGCTCCATTTGTAGACTGGATATAGTTTCGTCACCTAGCTTCTGAGTTGAATGCATGGCGTGACCCTGTGAGCTGCGGATTGCATTTGGAATGTTTTTTCGACTGTGACCAAGGTGTTGGTGTGAATTGTAGATTCAGAAAATGGCACGATGCCTGTCGTGCAGTGTTGTGGTGCCCGTATGTGATTAAAATTGATTGTGTGGGCACTGCTGATCTGTTGGCGACTTCTGCTACCATCAATGATGAACTGCAATTCTAATACTGTGATAAACATTCTGTGTGTTTTTCGTTGGCACAGGAGCGGAGCAAAGATGGGGCGACCTGTTTGCTATGAAGCTGAAACTAAGACTACCAGACCAGACTACCAGACTGCCCTGACTGGTCTATACAAATATGGGAACTAGCACATGTCCAATAAACTCCAGATGTGTAGTGAGGTTGGAGCAGGAGCTCTTTATTTACTAATCAGGCTTTCTCGAAATGGATACATTTTTGTTTCCCATTCAGCTACCCTGCAGAGTTAAAAATCTACCCAGAGTATTTCAGGATCCCCACCGGTGCTAAGGAGTATAACGGTGTGGCAGAATTAGAAGTCCTGTTGAGCTGCAGGATGCAAATGTTGCAAATTCCCTTAAACATTGGCAGTAGCTAGCAACGACTGCCTGACAACAAAAATCACATGAAAAAAAAAGCACTGTAGGCGACATATGGATGTTGAGTCACTGACTATCTTGCAGTCCTGAAGGAAGAAAATGGGGATGTTTGAGCTGAAATACTATAGAAAGATTCACAGAATACCATGGACCAAGAAGAGAAGAAATACCAACATCCTGAAAGACCTAAATATCAAGGAAGATTGGCTAGTAAACAGAATCTTGTCTCAATACCAGACATACTAAATTTTTTTTTTTTCACATAAACATCAATAAAGATTGGCTAGTAAATAGCCTCCTGTCTCAAAACCATACTAAGTCTATTCATATCCTGTGTCCACCCTTCACGCCAATACACACCTTGCCTCTTCGTTCAGCAAATGGAATTTTCGTCTTTTTTCTTCTTTGCGTTCACTGGTGTAAACTTTAGCAGAACGTTCTGGTTGTTCGTCCACTTCTGGACTGTAATCTTGTTCCAGAACTTGAGTGTTGCACGCACATCCATTTTGAGATCTGATTTATTTGTATGCAGTATTGTTTATCCACTTCTTGACTTTAATCTTGTCCCAAAACTTCAAGATGCATTCACATCCATTTTACACATCTGGCTTATTTGTATGCATACTGTTGGTCCCTTGCCTATCAGACAAATGCACTTCCGCCAGAAGAAAATCCTTAATTAGTTTACTCTTATGACATGCTTGTCAGGGAGCGTCTATTCTTATTTTCCTCAAAATGGGGCAATGGAACCAACATGGGGAAAATGGAATTATATACAATAATTTTACTGTTCGCTCCAACCCAATTTTGCATTTTACGTGGCCAACACATTGTAGTTTCTGACAGGGTTTTTATTCCTAGAAAAAAGGTACTGGTACTCACATAAGAAGACAAAAAAAGGTGCCTATACTCCTCACAAAATATTTATTACAGTAGAGCTGGAAAAAAATATCCATTAAAAAAGCCCTGGTTTCCAAGAATAATATAAGCCAGTCTCATTCTGAAGTGTTCAGATCTGGAAGAATGTCTGCACTTTTCCTTTTCTTGGTCTCTGAAAGTCTGAGAGTCAGGGGAGGGGGGCTGCATGGTCTTGAGGCATGGTGTCCGCCCCAAGTGCTAGAGGTTCCAGGTTTAATCCCCGGTAAGAGCTGGAATCTTTTTTACCTGGTCTCTGGGTAGCGAGGTCGGACGCCCGTGTGCAATGTTGCACACATGAACAATCCCTTCCCAGTTGGAAATCGAAAAGAGAAGCCTAAAGGCAAATTTGGAGTTAAAAATCTACCCAAAGTATTTCAGGGTCCTCACCGGTTGCACAGAGCCTGTGCACTGTGCTGAGCTTCTTCAGACTCAGACTTGAGTTAGAAGAAGAACAGAGCACTTATGGGTTACTACCCATGTGCCATGATGTTGATCTGTTGTTCAAACTTAAAACTGAGAGTCCTGCTGTAGCATTGAAGTTTAAAAGCCCTAATTTTTTTTTCAACTTCAAGTATTATTTACCTCACTATACTGAAAAAAGTATTTCAATTCAGTGGTTCTACCTCACTTTACTGGGGAAAAAAAAATTTGCATTCAGTGGTTTTTACCTCACTATACTGAAAAAAGTATTTTGACTCAGTGGTTTGCAACATCCGAGAACAAGGAAGTTTATGGAGGGTGATGTCAAGCAATTTTTTAAAACTGAGTGCATGTGTATTTGTAATAATCTGTAACAATGACTTTATTTACCAGTATTCCTTTGTGCCTTGCACCAGGCTAAAAACTGGCAGATATAACACAATATTTTTAAAAAGTGTCAACCATGGCTTGGATATTCGGACACAGAATTACCAGTTGTTGACGACTGTTTCTTTTCATGTTATTTGAAACTCTGACTTATGTAAGTTAGCATCCTTTGGATATTTTCTTCAGGGTATGCCGGTTTGGTGGGAAATGAGCAGGCAGATAGACTGGCTGGCTCTGCACCACTTGGTGGTGAAGGTGGTGAACTGATGTATGACAGCTAGATATTGTGAGGGCCCTTTGGGAATGAGTGAACAGTGTGGATGTGCAGATAGAACATTAAGGTCTGAGGAGAATGGTGCTGCGAGGAGTTACCAGGGGATGTGGCTGACGCTCAATTATCAAGGAAAGAATGAGACAGATTTACAATCAGACGGCTACTGGTGCCATCAAAACTGGAACTCTTTACTTGCTGCGGAAGATGGGGACGGAGCACCTATGGGAGCGTCCCGAGTGCTGTGATGTTGATTCCTAATTTAACATTCATCTTAACGGTTTTCTTTAAGTACTTAATAGTACTTCTTGCCAATTTTTCTTTTTGTCCTCCTCTGTTTGATGGCATCTTGTTAATTGGGGAGCCCGGAAAAGGGGGGGGGGGCGGGAGGATCTCTTCACAGATTCAGAGGAAATGCCAACTGAAAAAGGTTAAAAACCATTGCTGTCAGAGTTAAAATAATAACACAACGAGAGAGGAAGGGTTAAAGCAGCATTTGCAGCAGGGTGGGCTAATTTTGCCACTGAATTTAAAACAAGTTAAGGACAGTAAACCACATAAGCAGAAACAAACAAGTGGGAAGTGAGTTGTTTGGTAATGAAGGGGTTTGCTGCTGGCACCTTTTGGTCTTTCTAGATGACATACTGAGCTAATGGAGAAGGCATGGGAATCATAGCTCTTGGTGGTGGCGAATGTGGCTACCAAGAAAGTCTACCACCATCAGAGCATGAGATGTTGCCATCACTGAAAGGAAGAGGTTCAGTGCTTTCAAAATAACGCCACATTCCCAAAAATATATAATGTCAATGAATTCTGTTTATTACTGAATAAACTACAACAGTTCTTAAATAATTCGGCTATCCTCCGAATAACGGGCACATTTTATGGCGGCCGCAAAAACACCGTAACAGGGCCCCAGTCACATGTAAATTGCGGACTCCCTGCGACTTGATTTGCGGACTTCCGGCGACTACCACCACCGCCAAGAGTATCTCCCACGCCGCTACGCGCGGCATGGATTAGGGTTAAACTAGATGGCTTGGACTCACGAGCAGCAGCTTTCGCATCTCCTGCAGGACTGAGGCCCTGTTTTTGGCCTACATATTATGTTTCCCATTAATCGGAGGATAGCCCTTGTTTCTAAGCAGCAATTTTAACTGCTGTTTATTTTGTTCTTTTTTATGTCTTCTTTTTGTCCTTTTCCTGGAATGCCTCGAGGTGTCAGGAGAGAAAGAGATCTCTAGAATGGACCTTTTTGTTTGCTTTTCAGTGTCTCTGACATTTCTGTGGTCCATATTCTGCGTGGTCAACCTTTAGATCTGTTACCACTGTATACCTTATTTCCATTTAAATCTTGATATCTCAGCTTAGATTTACGCATACAGGCATATATTAGGTACGGTTGAAAAGAGATTTTTCAATAGCTATCTAACTGTGCAGGTTTTAATATCAGTATAAGTATATTTTGAAAATTGCACTAAAGTACAATTAATTGCACTGCTCATTAAACTGCTCAATTTAAATGTGTAGGTTTGACAGCCCTTCATTTCAGACTTAGATGCCAACAGAAATGACCTAGTTAATAATGTAGAAAAGAGAACCCTGGAAAAAAGAATGCACAAAATAAACCCCAAAACGCTGCAGCAACAACGTCCGACCAGAAATCAAACAAGTGGTCGCCACCTGTAAGCCAGCAGGATGGAGAAGATAAACACGAATTGTTCCTTCTTATTTCTCACACAGCGTCGGCTGCTACTACAAAACAACAGAGCGCAGAGATGTAAACAGGTAGGTGGTAAAAGCCGTACAAACTTCAACTCTACGCTACGTCCGCTGCTAGTGAGGAGTGGGAGAGGAAAGCGTGAAGCCACCCAAAAAATGCGATGTTTTGTTTGGGATCTTCTGAGAACTGGCGAACGAGCGAATCGGAAAACATGACCCCGCTTGCTTATCTTCGAGCTGCAGAGTCGATCTCTCTCTGCTTTCTTCCAGCCGAGACTCACTGCAAACAAAGCAAAACATTGTGTTTAACTAAAGAATAGGATAACTGATGCGTGAAACGTTGAAAAATACCACTGAATGGTGAGTGCTTACCCTGAGCTTGCTGCGGTTGTTGCTCATCTCCGCTGTCTCGGTCCGACATGGTGCTCTTCCACACAACCACTACCTTCTGCTAAAATATTATTAATGAAGTAGTACGCACGAAACTGTGACGTTTTTCTCAATGAGTTATGCTAAAAGTTGTATCGGTTTCAGGAAACGGAGATATTTTTCATTTGATGTAAGATGGAGATTATCAGTTGAGTCAAGAATTGACATCACAGCACTCGGGGCATTGCCATACTCCCTCCGTTCCCATCCTCAGCAGCCAGCGTAGAGTTCTAATGCTAATGGTGCCTTCGTAGTCTGGTTACACACACACACACACACATCGTGATTGTAACTGATTCAGAAAGCATGCTGAGGCAGATCAGAACAGGTATGCTTCGTGCAGAGTGGCATGCTTCGCTGCGGAGGACACGAGTGAGGAGTATTGTCTGGATTTTTTCACCTGGTCCGCCGGTGTGTTGGAAAATGAACAGACGGATAGACTGGCTGGCTCTGCACAACTTGGTGAAATACTGATACATGATAGGGCATACGTGGTTAGCGCCTTAAGGGAGAGCGTGTACAATTCAGAGGAGCAGATGGATCACCACAGTCTGGTGAGATTGATGCAGTTGGGGGTGACGAGAGGTTCTGACAGAAGCTCGATGCTCAGAGGAAAGGCAAGACGGACGTTTAATCAGAAAGCTACTGGCAACATTTGTATCGGAACTCTTCGCTGGCTGCTGAAGATGGTTACGGAGCGCTTATGGGAATGCCCCGAGTGCTGTGATGTCGGTTCTTGAATTAAATCAAATCAAATCGTAGTCTGGTTGTATGTCCATCTTGCCTTTTTTTTGCGCGTAGTGTGCGGGCCGCACACTCCGGTCACTCCCAGGGGCATCACTCTCTCCAGTCCATAATAAACGTGTTTCTCTTCTGACTTCGTTCTTGTTCTTGAAGGGCTCTGACCACATCTGCCATGTCATGTATCAATTCACCACCCAACGTTGCAGATCCAGCCATTCTGTCTGCTTGTTCATTCCCCACTACGCTTTCATGGTCTGTAGAAAAGATCCAAAATATGCTCACAATCCGTGACCTTCGAAGTAAAGCTTGCCACTCTGCTCGAAGCAATCCTGTCTGCACCTTTTTCCAGCATGCTTTCAGAGTCAGTTCAATTATGACATGTGTATGTTTCTTGTTGTCTAGCCACCGGCACGCTGCAGGGACCGCCTCCACCTCCATTCTCATTCTATATGTTGTGGTAGCATATGTCCAAGGATGTCCTGCACTAAAGATTTTCCATTGGCTCTCCCTACGAACTCCCAGGCACTTCTCTTCCCTCTCAGTACAGAACCATATGTGTAAATAATCAAATTATCGGGACGAAAAATGTCGTGAATCGCTTGTTGGACTTCCACCTCAGTAGCCCCTGTTGACCACTCTCTGCTCTTCCGGCCTAATATGATCATGACCCTACATAGGTCACACTTTTTCTCTGGTACTCTGACCCACTCATCTCCTCACCCACAGTTCTTCAGCATGCATACTTGTCTTATTGTGTCTTTTGCTTGTGCCATCCATGATTTTCACCTTTAACCTCTGACGCTTAACTGCATCCAAAGCTTCATACAGAGGGTGCTCTTTATCTGCAGCTACTCTGAAGTATGACTTTGCCTGCAGCACGTTTAGCCTATCAATAGACGGCAATGGAAGAATGTATCGCATGCACACAATCGGGGTGTCTCTTGTACATCCCAGAATCACCCGCATAGCTTCATTCTGTATGCGCTCCAGTTTCACTAGCTGACTCATCGAAACAGTGAGCAAACCCAGTCCATAATCAATCACTGGGATGATTAAGTGCTGGTATAGTATGAACAGCATTCTTTGCTCCATGTCCATTGCTGCGATAATCTTTAGTGCATTAAGACCTTTTTGGTCCGTTGACACAACCACAATCTTCTGTTAAAGGTTTTCCCATGTACCACAGTCTGCTGTCTCTCTTGATGTCCTTGCCATTTATTTTGAGGCTTGGAACATCAGCTCTAACGATTCTCTTGTCCAAAGAACACCATAGGTCGGTTGCCCTTTCTGGCTTAATTACATCACTCATCTCTGTACGCCAGTTGATCACCTTATCTACTGTCGCCTGTAACTCTTGGGTAATTTGATTCCGATCTCTCCCCTTCCTATATGCGAGAATATCATCTGCGAATGTCAATATTCTACCGGCTCCAGGCGTTTCCAATTCCGCAGTTTTGCTCGTATACACATTGAACAGCACATGTAAAATTGAAGATCTCAATGAGTACTTACTCAATCAATCGAGTGCCGTCTGCACGATGAAGGTAGTTTGCAATGAATCTCCAGCCCATTCTGTCTCTTGTCTTCGTTGCAAACTCTCTCAGATAAATGCTCATTCCTCTCTTAGTGGTGTCATCACACTTGTATCGTTGTCGCCCTCATGCTCTCTTGCCTTGGACTTTAACTTTCACAAAAGAGTTTTATGTCTGTCAATGTGGTCGAAATGTCTCAATTTTTCGCTCTCTCTCCCTCCCTCTCTCTATCTCTCTCTCTCTCTCTCTCTCTCTCTCTCTCTCTCTCTCTCTCTCTCTCTCTCTCTCTCTCTCTCTCTCTTTCTAAATTTATTTCAACAAGTCTCTTTTCACACCAAATACACAATGTCTCCAGAACTTCTGTAGGTGATTGCCCTCCCCCACCCTCCACCCCCGCCCCTCCACCCCGGCCTCATGAAACAAGACCTATTCTTCTGTGAATCCGCCCCCACCCACCCAAGACTTAACAGTACATAAAGGTATTAATGTGTATAGCTTTTAATACTGTACAGCCCTAATTGTCTCTAGAGTGCCCGAATTAAAATTTATTAGGTGGTTGAACAATGTATATACGTTTCACCCTTTTGTATTGACATCCATGATACGGCTTTTCACATTACAGGAGTGTTAAACATTGAGGTAGTGATCATGAAGGCAATAGCAACGAGTCACATCGTTACAAGCGACCATTTAGGAACCCATCGCCTCAAAGACGAGGAACCAACAGTCTGCATAAAGTGAAATAGATCTGTAAAACGGATGTGCACACAAACTTGAAGTTCTGATCAAGACTAAAGTCAAGGAAGCGGACTAGGAACCAGAACTTTCTGCCGGAGTTTACAGGAGGAGGAGGAGGAGGAGGAGAAGAAGAAGAAGAAGAAGAAGAAGAAGAAGAAGAAGAAGAAGAAGAAGAAGAAGAAGAAGAAGAAGAAGAAGAAGAAGAAGAAGAAGAAGAAGAAGAAGAAGAAGAGGAGGAGGAAGAAGAAAGCTTGACTAAGTCTCATAATTACAACCAAAATGAACAAACTAAGAATCCTACAGTTACGTCCCTTAAGATTGTTGTATTACACCGTAGACAGATTGAAAAGAAGAATGTTGATTGTTGAATTAAGAATTGACATCACAGCACTCGGGACACTCCCATTAGCGCTCAATCCCCATCTTCAGCAGCAAGTAGAGAGTTCCGATTCCGATGGTACCAGTAACTGTCTGATTGTGTACCCGTCTCACCCTTCCCCTGAGTCTTGAGCGTCGGCCAGATCCCCTGGTAACTCCTCGCAGAGCAATTCCCCTTACACCGTAAGGAGCGCCCCCGCACTGTTTACTCGCTCCCAATGAAAAGAGGGAAGGTCATGGATGGCACTGGTTGAAGGTACCATCGGGCTGATGGCCTAAGTCGAAAAAATACACAGGGGATAAGAATGGCTAATGAGTACAACGGTATGGCGGAATTAGAAGTATCGTTGGGCTGCAGGATGCAAATGTTGCATATTTCCTTAAAATTTGGCAGTAGCTAGCAACGATTGCCTGACAACAAAAATCACATGAAAAGAAAGCACTGTAGGCAACTATAAGACACAGACAAAAGATAAGAGGCTTTTTCGGGCCGTATGATGAGAAGAAAATTTTTTTTTTCAAACGTTTGTGAGAGAAAATAAAGCTGTTGAAAAAAAAAAAAAAAAAACTGAAAAAAATTTTCTTCCCGTTCACCAGCAGTAAATTCCGACAAAAAGTTGTGTTTGTTCATCCATTTCTGGACTTAAGTCTTTTTCCAGAACCTTATTTTGCGTTTACATCCGTTTTACAGATCTAGCTTATTTTATATGCAGACTGTTGGTTCTTCGCCTCTCAGGCAGACGCACTTCGACAATGAAGGAAACATCTCTAAATTTTTACATGTTTGGTAAAGTTCAGTGAGTGTATTCCCCCGCCCCTCCCCTCACAGAAAGGTCCCTGAAACCACAAGGGAACTGAGCAAATTAATTCGGCTACATTACGGGATTTACTACTATTGTAAAAAGTATGTATATTCTAGATTGAGATGTTGAAGTCAAACGAGCCACGGGTAACGGCAGAAAAGAAACTGACTGACTGACTGACTGACTTTCTACCCCACCAGGACATCTTACAAGCGATAAACACCCGATGACACAAAGTGCCACCATTTGGATGAGGATCGCCGTGGAGAGGTCCCAAAAACTGCGTTCAGACAATTGGCCATATGTATGGCCTGCCTATATTGCGGCCCCTGGCAAAGGCCAGGGTGGGGCTTCAAATAACAAAAAATTGCGTCCTAAAAAGGTCGAAACTAGAACAATATGTGGCTGGCAGAAAAGAAAGGAGGATATAGACTTATATCAAGTTATGAACGAACAGCATGTTTTGATAGGTCGTATAACCGGGACGAGTATAACAGTGTAGGAGATACATTACAGCAAACCTTTATAATGTAGATAGTACCTGTATGATTGATTGCCTGACTCACTGAATAATTGACTGCTTGATTAATTGGCTGATCGATTGATTTATGGATTTTGTGATTTACACAGCAACACAAGTGCTTAAAAATCACAACTCTGTGAAGTATTTAAAATATGATTACTGTTACCTGGTATTACAAGTACATTCGACCTAGGAGCAAAAAAAACGCCTACCGTCTGCAGTGGTTATGAGTATTTATAAAGCTTTGAAAGGGAGCTCGTATTTCAGAGACCAA